GAGCGAAACTATTGCGAAGCAACATATGGTATTGTAGGATGGCTCGCCAGGCGCCCTGGCAACGACCCGTTGCGCAGCTCCGTCTTCCAGCCAGGCGGCATCGAACTCCGAATGCTGACAGGGACTCGCAAGCGAGGACGTCCTCGACAGATGTGCGGCAACATGGTGCTGAATAGTTGCATGAGGGTTGCTGGCTCCCGCGCCCGCCTGGCTGACTTCTTCCGGCCTGAGGCCGGTGCAGCTGCAGCGTGGGGGGCCGCTGTCAGATCGACTAGACGTAAGAGTGACCCTTCGCCGGAGTGACCTTTGGTGCGCGTTCACTGGGGCCCCCCGATCGCCGCGCTCGTTGCGATATTAGCGTCTTGCGCGCTTGTGTTTGGCCTCCTCGCGCCCCCCAGAAAGCCGCGCACCAAAGGTCTCTCCTACCCAGGGTCACTCTTACGTGCAGCCGATCAGATCCCAGCACGATTGACGTTTGCCCCCCTCCCTTCCTCCTCCTCCTCCTCCTCCTCCTCCTCCTCCTCCTCCTCCTCCTCCTCCTCCTCCTCTCTATCAGATTTCAGCCAGACATGCTTTGCAGAGCCTGGTGAGTAGATTACGGTGCATCTGAGACCCACCAGAGGATTTGTCAACTCGTTTGTCTGTGAAACGTGAGTAGGTTAGCTCCGACATCACCAATCCCACTAAGTGGGATAAATGATGCGGACGAAGCGCCGAAAGTCATCAAAGTGACTTGCAGCACGTTGTGTCATTTACCGCAGGAAGGCCCGCATGAGAGATTTATGCGCAGTTTTCCGTTCCCATACATTTCTTATACCGCTACCCCCATAGAGCGGATTCTTGCGAGACGCCTCTCCGATGGAGACTCCGCTCACTGGCTTGGATGGAGTGCCGAAGTGCCCTTTCACAGGCGCGATCGTCTTGTTTCACCCTGCTCGCGCGCCGTCTGGCGCATGGCTTTTGACCTGACCTGACCACTGCCCGTCCGCTTGAGGCTGCCACTGCCCGTCCGCTTGAGGCTGCCACTGCCCGTCCGCTTGCGGCTGCCACTGCCCGTCCTTCTCGCATGTGCAGCCGTCTCCCTCTCGATGCTGCCACTGCTCATCTCTCTCACATACCCTGACCCCAACGCTGTAGCTGAAGGTGTCGGGCTCTAACGTCGCCTCCCACTTCTCGCACGCGCTGTTCCCAGTAGCGTGGTCAGAGTAGTTGGGCTCCAGCTTTGCTTCCTGCCCGCTCTTCTCACACGAGCTCCCGGCACGGCCCTGCCACTGCCCGCCAGGTTGGTCCTGATCCCAGCGCTGTAGCTGATGACGTTGGGCTCGCCCTTCGCCTGGCTCGAAGTGTGCTCGCCCCCGTCGCCTATGCGCCCTCAGCTGGGCCCACAGGACGGCCTGGGCGATGCTGGGCACTGTCTTCGCCTCTCGCTTCTCGCACGTAAAGTTCACAGTGCTGTAGCTGACAACGTCTGGCTCTCTCCTAGCCTCCCGCTTATCACACGCGCTGTCCCCAGTGTCGTGACGAGCGACGACGTCTGGCTCCAGCTTCCCTTCCACTTCTTTGCACGCCCTACTCCTAGCGCTGCAGCAGATGGTGTCTGGCTCCGTCCTTTCCTCTCGCACCTCGCACGTCTTGATCCCCGTGCTGTCGCTGGCGATGCTTGGCTCCAGCTTCGCTTCTCCTTTCTCGCACGCTCTGATTCCAGCTCTGTAGCTGACGGCGTCCGCCTGCTTACCATTCTGGAACATATCCATATCCCTATGCTGGGCAGCTCCTCATCACGATGACAATCTTAGGGATTCCCCTATGTTTGAGGGCGCACCCCTGAGATTGTCATCGCCTTTTGGCGTGCCAATCTTAGGGTTAGGGATCAGTTCGAGGCTGGTAACCTGCGCCTCCGCCGGAGCAGCCTCCTCGCCCTTCGGCTCTTGCAGCCACGCCACCCTCCTCCTCCTCCTCCTCCTCCTCCTCCTCCTCCTCCGCTTCCTCGCCCTTCGGCTCCTGCAGCCGCGCCACGGTCGGCTCCCGGCCGCCGCCGCTGGCGCCGAGCGGCGTGCCAGGCCGGCCGGCGCCGACCGCTGCCTGGCGGCATGCCGCCAGGCGCAGCCTCTGCGCCGCGCGCCGCCAGGCGCAGCTGCTCGGGCGCCACACCACTCCTGGGGTTGTGATGCTCCAACCTACTCTAGCCTTGACCACCAGGAAGAGTTTCGAGCGCCCCAGAAAAGTACCGAAACTCAAGGGTTTTCCTTCCTCCTTTCTCGCGCGCTCTGATGCTCCTTCTTCGCACGCTCTGATTCCAGCTCCGTAGCTGACGGCGTCCGCCTGCGCCTCCGCCAGAGCAGCCACGCCTCGCCCTTCGGGTCTTGCAGCCACGCCACGATCGGCTCCTGCTCGGGCGCCACGCCGCTCCTGGGTCGGGCGAAGAGAACTATACACATGCACCGATCCTGGCAAGGCCCGTCCTTGACCCAGGATCGGTGCATATACCCTCCTGGCCAAGGTAGCCGGCGTATGCACCGATCCTGGGCTCAGGATGGGCCTGGCGAGAAGCGGTGTATGTGCATAGTTCTTTTTCCTCTATCCTGGGGGTGCACTCGGCATGGCCGTCAGCACTCGCGCGAGGCTGTCACCGCGTAGCGCCTCCTCCTGGGGTTATGATGCTCCAACCTACTCTAGCCTTGACCACCAGGAAGAATTTCGAGCACCCACAGAAGTACCGCAACTCAAGGGTTTTCCCGTGCAGGGCCCTGGGAGACGCTGTTTCGACACTCTTCTGACACTTTTCTGGGTGCTCGAAACTATTTCTGGGATGCGGTCCTTAAGTAGGACAGGAACAACATAATCCTGGGGGCGCACTCAGCATGGCCGTCGGCACTCGCGCGAGGCTGTCGCCCCGTCGCGCCTCCTCCTGGCGCTGGGGGCATCCCCGGTGGCACGGGCCGCCGCGCCGCCGCGGGCAGCGGCGGCGGGCCCGCCGGGGAGCCACC